AATAAAGAAAGGACAAGAACCATATGATCCTCTCAATAGATGCAGAGAAAGCATTTAACAAAATACAGCATCCTTTCTTGATAAAAACCCTCAAGAAAGTCAGGATAAAAGGATCATACCTCAAGATCATAAAAGCCATATACGAAAGACCCAACATTAATATCATCCTCAGTGGGGAAAAACTGAGAGCTTTCCCCCTAAGGTCAGGAATAAGGAGGGATGTCCACTCTCGCCACTGTTATTCAACATAGTACTGGAAGTCTTAGCCTCTGCAATCAGACAAAGAAATAAAAGGCATCCAAATTGGCCAGGAGGAGGTCAAACTTTCACTCTTCGCAGATGACATGATACTCTATATGGAAAACCCAAAAGATTCCACCAAAAAACAGCTAGAACTGATTCATGAATTCAGCAGTCACAGGATGTAAAATCAATGCACAGAAATCAGCTGCATTCCTATACACCAACAATGAAGCAGCAGAAAGAGAAATCAAGGAATCGATCCCATTTACAATTGCACCAAAATCCATAAAATACCTAGGAATAAATCTAACTAAAGAGGTGAAAAATCTATACGCTGAAAACTATAGAAAGCTTATGAAAGAAATTGAAGAATACACAAAAGATGGAAAAAGATTCCATGCTCCTGGATAGGAAGAACAAATATTGTTAAAATGTCGATACTACCCAAAGCAATCTACATATTCAATGCAATCCCTATCAAAATAACACCAGCATTCTTCACAGAGCTAGAACAAATAATCCTAAAATTTGTATGGAGCCAGAAAAGACCCTGAATAGCGAAAGCAATTTTGAAAAAGAAAACCAAAGCAGGAGGCATCACAATCCCGGACTTCAGGCTATACTACAAAGCTCTGATCATCAAGACTGATAATCAAGACAGTATGGTACTGGCACAAGAACAGACACTCAGATCAATGGAACAGAATAGCGAACCCAGAAATGGACCCACAAACTTATGGCCAACTAATCTTTGACAAAGCAGGAAAGAATACCCAATGGAATAAAGACAGGCTCTTCAGCAAGTGGTGCTGGGAAAACTGGGCAGTGACATTCAGAAGAATGAACCTGGACCACTTTCTTACACCATACACAAAAATAAACTCAAAATGGATGAAAGACCTAAACATAAGACAGAAAGTCATCAAATTCTCGAGGAGAAAGCAGGCAAAAATCTCTTTCGTCTTGGCCACAGCAGCTTCTTACTCAACACGTCTCCAGAGGCAAAGGAAACAAAAGCAAAAATGAACTACTGGGACCTCATCAAAATAAAAAGCTTCTGCACAGTGAAGGAAACAATCAGCAAAACTAAAAGGCAGCCGACAGAATGGGAGAAGATATTTGCAAATGACATATCAGATAAAGGGTTAGTATCCAAAATCTATAAAGAACGTATCAAACTCAACACCCAAAAAAAAAAAAAAAAGATCCGGTGAAGAAATGGGCAAAAGACATGAGTAGACACTTTCCAAAGAAGACATCCAGATGGCCAAACAACACATGAAAAAATGCTCAACATCACTCATCATCAGGGAAATACAAATCAAAACCACAATGAGATACCACCTTACACCTGTCAGAATGGCTAACATTAACAACTCAGGCAACAACAGGTGTTGGCGAGGATGCGGAGAAAGAGGATCTCTTTTGCATTGTTGGTGGCAATGCGAGCTGGTGCAGCCACTCTGGAAAACAGTATGGAGGTTCCTCAAAAAAGTAAAAATAGAACTACCCTATGACCCAGCAACTGCACTACTAGGCATTTATCCAAGGGATAATGTGTGTGCTGTTTCGAAGGGACACATGCACCCCCATGTTTATAGCAGCACTATCAACAATAGCCAAAGTATGGAAAGAGCCCAAATGTCCATCAATAGATGAATGGATAAAGAAGATGTGGTATATATGTATATATATGCGTGTGTGTGTGTGTGTATATATATATGTGTGTATATGTATATATGTGTATATGTATATATGTATATATGTGTATATGTATATATATATACACACATACACACACACACACACACACATATACACACAATAGAATATTACTTGGCAATCAAAAAGAACGAAATCTTGCCCTTTGCAACTATGTGGATGGAACTGGAGGGTATTATGCTAAGTGTAATCAGTCAGAAAAAGACAAATATCATATGACTTCACTCATATGAGGACTTTAAAAGACAAAACAGATAAACATAAGGGAAGGGAAGCAAAAATAATATAAAAACAGGGAAGGGGACAAAACATAAGAGACTCTTAAATATGGAGAACAAACAGAGGGTTACCGGAGGGGTTGTGGGAGGGGAGATGGGCTAAATGGGTAAGGGGCATTAAGGAATCTACTCCTGAAACCACTGTTGCACTATATGTTAACTAATTTGGATGTAAGTTAAAAAAAAAATTAAAAAAAAAGAAACCAAGAAGTTAAAAAAATAATGAAATAGACATTATTCTTATTCTTGAAAAATCTTATTTTTATTATTTATTATTTGAAGTTAATTTTTAGAAATATTCTCCTGACTTTTTCTGAATGTACTTATTTACTTTATTAATCCAACTAGCTATTCTAATAACAATTAAACCATGTTTTAATTATTGAAACTCAAAAAAAAATGTTACAAAGAAAAATCTTATAAAGCAATAGAATCAGTCTCTCCCTTAAGGTTTGGTCAAAGCTTTGGACCAGTATCTAAGTTGGGATAAATAATCTCTCAATCTCCTTCAACTTACATATGTTAATAATGAGCTCTCTTAAAAAGTCAGGTTTTCATTAATTTTCACCTAATGACCTTGTTAACAAAAGTCAGAATATATTCGCACAGTTATATTACAATATTTTGAAAGATAGGGGCACCTGGATGGCTCAGTCGGTTGAGCGTCTGGCTTCGGCTCAGGTCATGACCTCATGGTTTGTGAGTTCGAGCCCCACGTCGGGCTCTGTGCTGACAGCTCAGAGCCTGGAGCCCGTTTCGGATTCTGTGTCTCCCTCTCTCTCTGCCCTTCCCCCGCTTGCACTCTGTCTGTCTGTCTCTCTCTCTCTCAAAAATAAATAAAAAAATTTAAAAAATTTTAAAAATATTTTGAAAGACAATTATCACTAATCAACGTACAACTTTGAATTAGGTTTCATATTTAATTGCAGTGAATATTCATCTCTTTAGGAGTGATTCTTCAAAATATTTTGGTTTGGTAATAACATGGGTTCGATTGTTATAAAAAAAGGGAGAAAACATAGTTCAAAAATGTTCATTTAGAAATCGGAGAGGACCACCTTCAGTACACATTATAGATATTAAATCTTTAATAAGTATCTTAGTAATATTAAAGCTTGTAATGAAAGTATAGTTTAATTCACTTGATATTAGTATGCATTTACATTTTGTCAATATTATAAAAATTGTTCACAAATGTTCTTTAAGTCAGTTTTATTACAAAGAAAGCAAACTGAAGTTATTAGCTTTGATAAGTCCTTTATGTATGTGAGTTAGAATGTTTTGGGGGCGCCTGGGTGGCTCAGTTGGTTAAGCGTCCAACCTCGGCTCAGGTAGTGATGTCATGTTTCATGGGTTTGAGCCCTGATTCAGGCCCTGTGCTGACAGTTCAGACCTGTGTCTCCTCTGCCCCTCCCCTGCTCGTGCTCCGTCTCTCAAAAATAAATAAATATTAAAAAAAATTTTTAAAGAGAAACTTCTGGAATGTTTTTCTAGTGAAGAGGCTCTCAGAGTTTGTTTTCTTCAATGCTAGGTCAATGTGTTCCTTAAATCCTATAACTCCCTGCTCTTTCTTTATAATCAGAAAAGGCAGTTCCTATTACTGTAGACAGAACAAGAAGAATTTATTCAGATGCAAGTTAAATATTTGTGACTGAATCTGATGTTACTAGGACATCTTGCCCAAAAGGAAACTTCTCCATAGGAGCTGATAATACACAGATCCCACAGAACCCAGGAAAAAGTACAGTGCCTATTTGGGTATTGTGATCAGAGTTGACATTGATGCAGCAATATTTCCAACCCTGTTCTAAGGAACATTCAGAATGGTGCAGTGGACAGAAGTTACTTCTAGACCCTTCTTCCCTTCAACATGGTAGTTTTCCCTTTATCCTTAGGTTCAGTTACCCACGGTCACCTGCAGTCAGAAAGCAGATGATTCTCCTTCTGATAGGTCATCAGAAGGTCAGTGGTGGCCAAATGCCACATCCCAATGCCCATGTCATTCACCTTATGTCATCTCATCAAATGGGCATTTTATCACCTCACACCATCAGAAGAAGGGTAAGCACATTGCAATACCAGTTTGAGAGAAAGACTGTATTCACATAACTTTTATCATAATATATTGTTATAACCCAGAAGAACACACACATACCTACCACAGCTCCTATCTACCAGGCAAGGCCACATGATTTGTGTGCCATCAAGGAGACTGCTGGTGCAGGACTAGGGGTTGCTAATGAAGGTGCAAATGCTTCTGGAATGGGAGATGTTGGCTGAACTATCTGCCTGAATATTACTGAGGGCGGTTTCCTGAAATCAATGAGAGTTGGGACGTTGCTTATTGGTGCCCCAACTTATACCTGACTAATCAGTACATCCGAGAATCTGGGTCCCAAGATGATAAACCAACCAACCAAACGAACAAAAATCTACTTTTAAGAAGGACGTTGACAGGTAGCTGTTATGTATATCATTTCACAAGTTTTAGGGCATGAAAGAAGTCCATCAGTAATGATAAGAGTAAATTTTTTAGCTATGTCTTCAAAGAAACAAAGGATTAATGTATTATTGGTAGCATCCTGTGTTCTCCTGCTGAGCTAAATGCTTATCACCTTGATGGCATGTCTATCAATACAGGACCCACAGACTTGATTTCTGAATTTCCTTCTAACTTCAGGATTCTAAAATGCCAGAAGGGTGGTTCTCAAAGTACAGAACAAGGACCACAGCAGAAGCATCACTTAAAAACCTTTTAGAAATGCAAATTCTTGCCCCTTCCACCTTCCCAGAAACTCTAGGGGTGGGCCCACTTGTCTGTGTTTTAGAAAGGTATGGTAGCCAGCCTCCAGCATGGCCCCCAATGATCCCTACCTGGTATCCCCATCTTTGGGTAGTTCCATCCCACAACAATGGGACTGACTTGTGTAACAAATAGAATGTAGCCAAGGGGATAGATAGTTTATGACACCATAAAAAGTACTGAGACCTCCTTCTTGTCTCTTCCTTGGATTGCCTGCTATAGGGAAGCTGGCTGCCATGTTGTAAGAGCATTCAAGTAGACCTATAGAGAGGTGTGGTAAGGAACTGAGGCCTCCAGTCAACAGCCATCTTGTGAGTGAACCATCTAGAAAACAGATCAGCCAAGCCAAGTCCAGACAGCTCAATGCAATCTCAAGAAAGATACCAAGGTAAGCCAGCCAGCCAATCTGCTCCTACAATACTGACCACAGAAACTGTACAAGATAACAAATGCTTATTGTTCTGTCCAGTAGCTAAGTTTTGGGGTAATTTGCCTCACATCATTAGATATCTAATACATAAGCCCTCTCTGGGTGATTCTGACACATGTTAAACTTGAGAACTTCTCAAGTTCTAAGCTAAAACATTCATTCTCCAAATAATTACTTCTTGTACCTCCTATGCGCTAGGCTAAGAGCAGGAACACAATGGGAAAAGCACACACTTCCCAGCCCTTGATGCATCCTGTTCTCTTCCTTCATTGCTCAGTTTGTAATTTTATTTTATTTAGGGAAGGCACACCTATGTAATGTCTGTCACTCGGTGCACCATGAGTTCTTTGCCTGGTTTCCTCACCACTGGGCTGAGCCTGGGCTCAGCATCATGCTTGGCACATAGAGGGGCTTAATTAATACCTACTTATTGGATGACTTTCCCCTTCCATTTTCTCCACCTTTCTCCTGTATGATGAATTCAGGCACCAGGAACAAGTCTCCTAATACCACCAATGACATGACATTTAAAGGGTTCAAGGTGTGTTCCCCTGGGAATCTAACTACCATTTATTTCCATAGAAAGACAGGTCTTTTGTGTTCAAAACAGTCAACTTTTAAATTTTTTTTTTTCAACGTTTATTTATTTTTGGGACAGAGAGAGACAGAACATGAATGGGGGAGGGGCAGAGAGAGAGGGAGACACAGAATCGGAAACAGGCTCCAGGCTCTGAGCCATCAGCCCAGAGCCCGACGCGGGGCTCGAACTCACGGACCGCAAGATCGTGACCTGGCTGAAGTCGGACGCTTAACGGACTGCGCCACCCAGGCGCCCCAACAGTCAACTTTTAAAGTCCCTCTATTTCACACGTGCAGATTCACAACACATATAAGGAAAACGTATGCAGCGGGTTTAGAAACATCAGTAATTAAATGTGACACCATTTTCCTTTCCAGAAGAGCACATCCATAAAGCAAAGGGCCTCATCTTGCTTCACCTGCAATGTCTTCCCCACAGGTGGAGCCCTGTGCTAATGAGGACAGCAGGGCGTCAGAATACTGCTCTCCTCTGATAGAAAGCACCCTGCTGATCGCTGTACCTGGGCAGAGCCCAGCGCTGTGCACACAGAAACATCCTGATCTCACCGACCAGCTCTGCAATGGGTTCTTTTTGTCCAGTAATGAACATGAGAGGTTAGTGTCTGGACATGATGAGGTGGTGAGACAAGAAGTCAATAGTTTTTTTTTTTTTTTTCTACGTGACGTTAGAACACGTATTTGGAGAACACTTCTCAATAACAGAAAATAACTCATTGATTTTTAGAAATTCTTATGGCCGACAGATTGAGATGTGAGCGACATCATTCTGCTAATATTTAGGAACATCAGATAAGTTATAAAACAGACTGGCTCTCAGCATATTTCTGAGCAGGATCAAAGAGGAGGCAGACAGATTGCAAAGTCAGCAGCGTATTCAGAGGGCGACACCCCGACTGTATCTCCCGTCCATCCTTAGTGAGAGCTCACTCTTAAATCTGGCCAGGGACGGCAGGCCATGTCTTCTGTGACATCTGTATCCCCAGTCACAGAGCACAGCCCGCCCACTGGGAACTTAAGGCTTCCTTATCTGCTTGCTCTTTTTTCATTCTTCTGTGATTAGCAAAACTTAACAGCATTGTCCTATGCAACTTTGTGTGATGATGGAGATGTTCTCCTGCACTGCCTGTCAAGACAGTGGCCGCCAGTGCACGTGGATACTAAGAACCTGAAATAAGGCAAGTGCAAGAGGAACTGAAGCTTTTCTCTCCTTTAATCCTAATTAATTTAAATTTGCATAGCCACATGTGGCTAATAGTTGTCACTCTGGGCAGGACAGTGGTAGAAAACAGGGACCATTGCCCATCGGCACACCAACTCATCTTTAGAAAGATTTTATGAGTCTCATTTCTCATATGAGCATATTTAAGGCTCACGGGGATAAGTGACATGCCCATGATCAAAAAGCTGGTAAAGGGCAGAGAAGAATTTACACTTAACCTGCCAGACCCAGCCTCCACTCCTGCAATGACGTCAAACTGCATTCCTCCATATTCGTGTAAAAGCAGCCTCTAAGGCAAGTATCAGCCTCTGAAAACTCCAAATTCTCAGTAAATAGCTATGAAAGGAAGCTGGCCATGTGTGGCAGGATTCCTTCCAACAAAAACACATGGGAAAATATTTCTCTCCAGCTATGACTATCTATGTGAGTCTTTCAACTGCACATTGCTGTAAGTATATCTGACAGCCCCCACTGTGCTCTAAAACTTCTGCTCCAAGGAAGCAGAAGCCCCATGAATTCGTGAGAAGGCAACAATATGAAAATGATTTTATTAAACTTCCGCCACATCCTGTTATGCTGTCTAAGCATTATACTCTCCTACTTACCCTTTGCTGACAAACTGGATTATACTTTCTTTCCTAAAGCAAGAGGATCTCACGAAACTGTGCAAAAGATAAAGACACTACGATTTCAAAAAACTGATTTGGACACAGAGTGTCAAAGGTATGACTTTAAAAGGGGGTTAGCTATACTGAAGGCAGCTAATCTACAGAGTCATATCGTAAATTCTGTCTTGAACTCTAGGTAAAATAGTTCACATTACTGCAATGCCACAAACTCACTCCAAAATCCACAAGCCTCCATTCAGATACTTGTATGTCCCGTATCCATAATGAAAACAGTGCTATCTCCATAAATCTCTCCTTTATTCAGAGGGACCCAGTTTGCAGCCCAAATTAAGACGCAGGGTGGCTAATTCATTGAAATTAGGCGGGGAGAACATCACAGTTTTTTGTGGACACAACTAACATCCTTTGGTTCCACTACAGCTTTCATATTGCCAAGGGGATCGAGGATATTCCTTAATATTACCCTACTTGGGTAAAATCAAAGAGATAATGGGATGATTAGCTGAATCATGGGTAAAGAAGTAGAGTAAAACCACAAATTTTGGAGGATCAAAGCCTGGCTGCAAAATATATATATATATAAAATAAGCTAAGTGTGATGATTCTGTTATATGAAAAAAATCCATTTTTTAGATTAGAGCTAGTGGACTCTGGCAGCAAGAGCTGTACAAGGTCTTAGAATTAGTCTCATCAAAGCCTGCACTTGCTATCTTGCAGCACATGACACTATCCTATGGTCACAAATTCAGCTCCTCAATCTGGTATCACGTAAACAATGTGAATGGGTGAGTGGCTAGTGGATCACAGATGACCCAGGTGGGGTCTGTGTGTCTTCCCCCTTGAATCCAGTGGGGCCTTGACTACTCTGACCCGCAGAAGACTGCAAGTGACATTGTGCAGGTCTCTAGGCCTCAACCTTAAGAAACAGGCAGCTTCTCTTTCCTGCCTTTTGGCACACTTGCCAGGGGCCATGAGCTCCCATGTAAGAAGCCCGAGTACCCTGAGACCACCATGCAAGAGACCACGTGCAGGCACAAAGTCAATAGTCCTGGCTGAGCCCACCCTCCCAGCCATCCCCGCCAAAGGGGCCAACCACAGGAGTGTAGCCATCCCATGAAGCAGGTGAATACCATGAAGTGATTCCCACTGAAGCCTGTGGAACAGAAGAAGAACCCAGCCAAGCCTGTCCTGACCCACAAAACCGACAGAAAATAAAACAGTTTTTGCTGTACATCTTGCAATTCTGGGGGCAGTTATCACGTACCAATAGAAAACTGGAAAAAACAGAGTGTTTCTACTATCTTCAGCTTATCTATGCTTCCTCTGAAACCACCTTTTAATTGTTCTGATTAAATAACATAACGGTACATTTGCTCAATACTAAGCCTAACCCTAACCCTGAGTGCCTGCCTGATCATCCATTTTTATATATACCTACCAATGAAGCCAGAAGATGGTGGGTTGGGCTGAATCTTCTCCTTGGTGTTCTCCTGGATAATGTCCCAAAGCTGCCATATAAATTTAGGATGAAGAATGTAAAATGGCTGATTTGGGTTTCTCTGCCGGTGCTGAACATATGGAGTGAACAGGTTGTAATCTGGCTTCTTGTACCACTAAGAAACAAACAAACAAACAAAATCAACGCAATCAAGTACAGAGAACCACACTGTGAAAAGGAAACAGGGCAGCACCGGGGTGGGGTTGGAGACTATTTAGAGGCTAAGGGCCCGGGAGAAGGAGGTGAAGTACAGGCACTGCCTCATGGATGAGGGAACCAGAACAAAGAGAGATAGGGTCCCAGCCCTGAGGGACAAGGATTTGTTCTTTAGTGAAATATGGGAGATGAGCTAGGGCAGGGGCCCCAGACTTTTCTGTAAAGGGCCAGGTAGCAAACCCTTGAGGCTTTGTGGGCCAGACAGTCTCTGATGCTTCTATTGTACTGAGAAAGTCACAGAAGATACATCATGAATGAGCATGGCTGTGTTCCAATAAAACTTTATTTACGAAATGGGGCCAGATTTGGTCCACGGCTACAGTGTGCTGACCCTGGGGTTTCAATCAGTGTATTTCAAAACATATTTTTCATATGTAATACAGTGACAGAAAGCATATCAGTTATTGCCTAGGTCTGGGGCAGTGCTGGGCAGACTGATAGGTGGGGCACAAGGAACTCTTGGGAGTGCTGAAAATATTCCATTTCTTAACTGTGGTGGTGGATACATGACTATATAAATTTGCTAACACTCATCAACATGTATCCTTCCACTGACTGTACATGTTACTGTATGAAAAAATGTACAATAAGGTTGATTTACTTAAAAATTTTTTTTGATGTTTATTTTTGAAGGAGAGAGACAGAACGTGAGCAGGAGAGGGGCAGAGAGAGAGGGAGACACAGAATCCGAAGCAGGCTCCAGGCTCTGAGCTATCAGCACAGAGCCAGACATGGGACTCGAACTCACAATCTGTGAGATCATGACCTGAGTGAAGTTAGTCGCCCAACCGACTGAGCCACCCAGGCGCCCCTAGGTTTACTTTTAAATGTCTTCAGAACATCTGAGGTGCCACCATGAAAAAATGGGATTTGGAGGTATGTGGGGGAGAGACTTAGTTCATAAGGCTCTGAGGGCCCTGTTATCCCTTCAAACAGACACCTTCGGGAAACAGTAGATACGCACTGAGATCCCAAGTAATATTCCATGGTTGAATGGGTTCTGTGGCTTTAACTATTTTGAGAAGGACCGGGGCCAATCATCTTGTGTAAACTTTGCCCCCAAGCCAAGAGGCAGCAGAAGGGAAGCAAGAGGAGTGTGGGCCTCAGTTTCTTCACCCCTCCTCCTGCTCCCCAGAGCGCAGGCCACCCAGAAAGCAGCCCGGTTGCCTGGGTTTCAGCACTGTTGCTGTCCCCTCCATCGGGTTGGACAGCTCTGTGCCCTGGGCTTGGATGCTTCCCAAGGAGGAAGAAACAAGGTCCAATAGCTAGAGCTCTCAGTCTCTCCACAGATAGTGAGAAAGCTGTCAGAACTTAAAACCAGAGAACTTCAGACCGGAAAGGAAGCTGAAGAGTTCCAACATGCATTTCGTGCCGGATTCTCGGTAGACGGTACCTGTGAAAATCAGCCAGAGAGCTTTCTCAGAAACTACACACTGGGGCTGTAAGTGATATGTCAGGAAATGGGGCTCTGACAGATACATTTGAAAAAATACTCTCCAGGTGATTCTGGTTTGCGCTCCTGGTTAAGAACCAGTTAGGATTAAAAGAGAGAGGGAGGCAAACCATAAAAGACTCAAATGCAGAGAACAAACTGAGGGTTGCCAGAGGGGTGATGGTGGGGGGAGGGGCTAAGTGGGTGAGGGGCATTAAGGAGGGCACTTGTTGGGTCTTCTACTCCTGAAATCATTACTACACTATATGTTAACTAACTTGGATTTAAGTGCAATTTTTAAAATTTTTTTAAAAAAGAGCCAGTTAGGAATCATGCTAGTTAAATGTCCAGCCTTGGTCTCAAGATGAACAGTGACACAACAGCCCCAGAAGGACCCATCTGACCTTGGGCCGCTGCTCTCTTGGGAAGTCCTCTTGGTAAAGCCAAGGCCTGTTCCCTCATTTCCATCATCTTAAGAAGGATGCATTCTCTTGGGTCATGACAGAACAAGTTGAAAGACGCTCAGTGGCACAGCAGACATTATCTTTCATGAGGCTAAAACTATCACACTTCTTTCCCAGCCCTCCTTAAAAGACAAGTGCATCGGCTTTTCATCCAAGTTCTCACCAGAAGTAACTAGCTGCTTGTTTACATAGGCAATGATTTGCCAGAATGCCATGAATGTAACTTGCTTATATTTTGATGGCTAGCAGTAATCTTGTTTACACTGTATCACATAAGGTAAGAAAGGTTTAGAGGAAAAAGCCAGAGTTGCACACTCAAGAAAAGTCTGTAACAGGTTCCACTTACAGGGCAGTGAGCTGTTGATTCACAAAGTTTAGATTCTCTTATCAAGCACTTTGAATTTATTTCAGAAGGTCTCGTAACTACGTGGAAGGTGATGTAACCCTATCACAATGGAAAACTCTGAGTTTACTTGGCTCAACTTCCAGTGTAACTAGGAATTTCTGAACATTTAGGGCACTGTGATTTGTTTTTGTTTTTATTTTTATTTTTATTTTTTAATTTTATTTATTTATTTTTTTTTTCACCGTTTTATTTATTTTTGGGACAGAGAGAGACAGAGCATGAACGGGGGAGGGGCAGAGAGAGAGGGAGACACAGAATCGGAAACAGGCTCCAGGCTCTGAGCCATCAGCCCAGAGCCAGACGCGGGGCTCGAACCCACGGACCGCGAGATCGTGACCTGGCTGAAGTCGGACGCTTAACCGACTGCGCCACCCAGGCGCCCCTGTTTTTGTTTTTAAATCTTCCAGAGCAAAAGCCCTTTTTTCATTAGGTAGGTCACGTTCACCAAGTACGCTACCGGAACTGGGTATCAAAATGGTATGAACGCCCATGTATTTCAGTAGTGTCCATGATTGGTTTCATTCTGTGAAAGCTTAATCCTTGACTTGCTCCCATTATTAATCAGTCAAAGGCACTGTCTGATCAGTAGGGTAAGGGCACCAAAGGGAACACTTACCAGGTTAAGATTTGCAGAGTAAGGAGCAGGGTCCCAGGCCACCAAAATGACGTTTTTATACAATGAACTGTCAATGAAGTGATGATTGGGGTTGGTCAGAATCTGCAAATACACACAGAAATCATTTCAAAGCGAGTGGCTCTTCAAAATTATGTTTTTTAAAAAGAGGAAAGTTTAAAAAAATGAATCAGAGCAAGAAAAACAAAATTACTCAGACTTTACTATTTTCCTCTGGGGGAGTGAGAGAGGCAGGCATTGCACGCTAATGAACCTGAAGAAATGTCTGGGGAAACTAGGGTTAAAAATAAAATTTAGGAGGGGTGCGTGGGTGGCTCTGCCAGTTACCCGTCTTGACCTCAGCTCAGGGCATGATCTCATGGTTCATGAGTTCCAGTCCCCAGTCAGGCTCTGTGTTCACAGCCCAAAGCCTGGAGTCTCCCTGGGATTCTGTGTCTCCCTCTGTCTCTCTGCCCCTCCCCCATTCTTGTTCTGTCTCTCTCTCTCTCTCTCTCTCTCTCTCAAATATAAATAAACATTAAAAAAATTTAAAAAACAAAATAAAATAAAATTCACGAGTTCTTACATTTTCATCAGCATTATACCCATAGCCAGTGGTATCGAATCAGCTCCTGAAAGATGCGATGCCTTAGCTAATTTGGCACCCCCGACCTCCTCTCTAATTGCCTTCACAGACAACTGGAGAAGGAGGCACAGATATGAATGACCCACGTTATTAAGGTGACTTCAGAGTGCCAGCCTCAGGACAAATGGAACAGGGACAGCCAGCAGACTGGTGACAGCCCACATGCGACTTCCTCCCTTTGTGGTCCTAGAGGAGTCCTTCGATCTCACCTGCCAATCATCTTTTTTAAACTACAGCTTTGGAGGAGAAAAAAAAAAATTTGGTTTTCCTCAGTGTTGAGGTGCAACTTTTCACAGTTTTTAAGATGCACTCTCTTTCTTCATGCAGATTTCTCAAGTCAGGACATATTTTACAGGTGGCATGTATTTTAATTTGTGGGGATGATTAGCTAAAAAGCTGGAAGTGTTAATAAATGAATGGCGACTCTTACAATCCATGCTGTCTATGAAGCAAGGAAACATGGCGATTGTTTCTTCCCTTGCTGCAGGCTGCCTGGCTCAGGGTCCCAGGCAGAAAGCTAATCTTTTCTTCTGCAAGCAACTTGTCATAAATCATCCATCACCTCATGTTCTTTCTATATAGTTTGAAACTCTAGAAACTGCCATGGTTTTGAGAATAATTTTGCTTTGAATTTGGAAAACATTTGTATGAAGAACACCAAAAAGAGAAATACTTCCATTTTCAACAATTTCATTTTTAAAATTTTCAGATAATGGACTAAAGTTTCCAAGCCACCCTACTGACCCTTGGATTTTGTAGCCTTTGCTTTTTCTCCCCTTCATCCCTTGCCTTTCACACCACCATGATTTTTTTCTAAATTTAACTGTCCTTTGCTCCATCTGTAATATACAACACACTATGATTATATATATACACATACATATGCATACATGGATATCCATACATGTTTCTATATCTTCTCTGATTTTTCCTTTTAATCTTATTTACTCATTTTTTCCTAGTCATGTCACACATAAATGCCTATTTATCTGCATTTTTTCTCATCAATTCTTTTATGATTACAAGAACCTACAAATAAGCAAGACCATGGTCATGTACAACTGGGTAATTTCTCTTCATTCACCCAGTTAAACTATTTACCTATAAAATGTACATGCATGAAAACACTCCATCCATCTTACCTGGGAATTAATGATGCGCACGGTGGTTTTATTTCCAACATCTTTCTCATAGCCACGTGTAGGTGCCGAGTTAAATCTCAAAACTGCATCATGAGAATCTAAGAACACATGAGTGACAAAGTTACTTAATTTTTTGCTGTAGAATCAACATAATTTAGAAAAAGTTTTAAAGCAAATTTTTTTAATACCTGAAGCTAACTGGAAACAACCAATACAGTTAAGATACCCATACATGTCATTTTCAGTGTCTGTAGTGTTTATTTCGAATGAGGTCTTCGCTAGGGGACAAATCAACATGGGAACATATGAATCCATTACATGTGGTCCAATGTCATCTCAGACATATGTAGGTACTTGTTATGTGTTCATATTCTTTAAAGGGGCATGCTTTATGTGGGCATTCTCAGAGATTCCAGGGTATTTCCAAGATGGAATCTATGGGAGCAGACAAAGGCTGCAGACAGAGGCTGCTTGTTTGTGGCCTCTTATTGCTTTAGAGCATGAAGGCTGCTCATGGTGTCGCTAAAGAGGCCACTTGTGCCAGGACAAGGACATCTCCCACACAGTGAGAGCCACAGCCTTCAGTGCAACTTTTATACCTTGGGGTACTGGTTTGTGCTTAAAAAGAACACCAGCTCTATAGAACACTGTACGTTAACCATACTGGAATTGAAATTTAAAAGTTGAAAAAGAAAGAAAGAAAGAAAACCAGCTGATTTCTGTGCTTTACAAATTGCTGCTGATTCCCAGAAGGCCCATGTGAGAGCAATCGAGAGCATTCTGCATTTCCAGCAACGGTATGACCAACTGCCACAGGACTGGAGGACGGGAGACACCACCAGTGGTACCGGCTGCCGAGGCTCTTTACACTCTTTAAGGGCACACCTTGGTTCACCGAGCCTCAACTACAACATAAATCTGTGTCTCTCTTCATTCAACTTGACAGACTTCCTCAAGTTCTCAGAGGTCCCGGGTGAAAACACACCTCCCACATCCTGGAGGCTGACGAGGACACGAAGAGCTAGAGGTAGGCTAGATGGGAATGGGGACACGTTCCCTTTCCACAAAGCAGTCTAGGTGCATGCATATGTCTTGAAATCTCCCAAGCCAGCTACTGTGTTGCCCAGAAACCAGAGTTAATCAGCAATAAGGGAATCGCTACAGGCTATCTTTAGCTTCAAAAATTCTATGCACATTTCAAGCTTACCTTGGAGCAATGACAATGCCTCTGTCTGCGTGAGAGAGAGGTAAGATTATGTATTTCTGATTCACCAAAGAGCCTGTAGACGTGCCCTATGTTTACCGTGACCATACCCCACACAAGTCCTTAAAGCAGGCCACCTCCTTGAGTGTGCTGCTCCCTCCTGAGCAGTCTTCCTAGGAGAGACTTTCCTACCCCCTAAGTATCAGAGACTGGGCACACATGCCACCATTGAAACAACGTTACCTTAGGGGGTGCCTGGGTGTCTCAGTCAGTTAAGCATCTGACTTCAGCTCAGGTCATGATCTCACGTGGATTTGAACCCTGTGGATTTGAGCCCTGTGTCCGGCTCTGTGCTGACAGCTCAGAGCCTGGCGCCTCCTTCAGATTCTGTGTCTCCCTCTCTCTCTGTCCCTCCCCTGCTCACACTCTGTCTCTCTCTCAAAAATAAACAAACATTAAAAAGAAAAACAAAACACAGTTATCTTAGGTGCCTTTCTTGACGGGCCCTGAACTCAGAAGAATTTGTATTCCAGTTTTGAGCACCAAAATTAAACAGAACACAAAGAAGGAATAATGGGTACTTGACTACGTAATTGAAAAAATTCTAAAGGGGAGCCTTGGGTGGCTCAGGGGGTTAAGCATCTGACTTCAACTCAGCTCATGATCTCGAGGTTTGTGAGTTCGAGCCACATGCCAGGCTCTCTGCTGTTATCACAGAGCCCACTTCAGATCCTCTGTTCCCCTCTTTCTCTGCCTCTCCCTAGCTCGTTCTCCCTTTCTCTCTCAAAAATAAACAAATAGGCATTAAAAAAATTCTACAGTGTTCTTTTAGGGGAAATGGTGCAGGGGGGGAGCAAGCTGTGACCACCTGTTTTAATAAATAAAGCTGGACCACAACACAGACATAGTCATTTGTTTATCTATTGTCGGTAATGGCAGAGGTGAGTTGTGACAGTGACCCCCATGGCTCACAAAAACTAAAATATTTACTACTTGGTTCTTAAAGAAATAAATAAAGAGGTTTGCCAATGTTTACATTCTAGGTGATCCATGCTTTGAATAAATGATGCCTAACAACCTGAACACTTTCTATTTTCTTTACAATATAGGCACTTGTTCATACATTTTTTTTTTTTTTTGTAATGAGCTGTTTGGTTATTTTTATTGGATAGTATTTTCTCATACAAATTCAAATGCTATTGGAGTCAGAAAAATTTGATTACCCAAAGCAGTGGTTCTCACGTTTTGGTCTTAGAACCCTCTTACACTCTTGAAAATTATTGACAACCCAAAGTTCTTTTGTTTATTTGGATTATATCTGTCAATATATGCCTACTTTGGAAGCAAAATAGAAAACTTAAAGATGTTTTGGGGCGCCTGGGTGGCTCAGTCGGTTAAGCATCCAACTTCGGCTTAGGTCACGATCTCGCGGTCCGTGAGTTGGAGCCCCGCGTCGGGCTCTGTGCTGACTGCTCAGAGCCTGGAGCCTGTTTCAGATTCTGTGTCCCCCTCTCTCTCTGACCCTCCCCCATTCATGCTCTGTCTCTCTCTGTCTCAAAAATAAATAAACGTTAAAAAAAATTAAAAAAAAGAAAACTTAAAGATGTTTATTAATTAACTGATTATTATTTTCTTAAAGTAGGCTTCATGCCCAGCGTGGAGCCCAAGGTGGGCCTTGAACTGACCACCCTGAGACCGACACCTGAGCTGAGATCCAGAGTCAGATGCTTAACAGACCAAGCCACCCAGGCACCCTTACTTACTAATTTATTTTCAAATATTTTTATGAAAAATACCATATTTTCAAAAAATAGAGGCCTTGCACTGGTTTAAATGTCTGCAGATCTCTTTAATGCCTGGCTTTTCAGAAGACAGTTGGTTTCTCTTAACTGCTTCTGCATTCTGTTGCAACATATTGCTTTAGTTGAAGTATATGAACCCTCCGATATATCTTTGAAAATGTAAGGAGTACTTAAAGTCTTTCCACATTACTGAGAATATTCTTCTTTGATACTTCATCAAAACTTGACAAGTGCTAGTTTCTTAAAAAAGCTTTCCTAATGTGGAATGTGAAACCGTATCAATGAACTTGCCATGCTCTGTTACATTAAAATCCATTCAAATAGTTCATCTTGCTCTTAAAATGGATGATTCACCCACGCATGCTTTTGCAGCATTGTGCAACGGTCATTTGGAACTACCAATTTAATAAGTTATGCAGATCTTCCAAATATTGATGCACTTCATTATAAGGTATCCCCCGCAAGTCACAGCAGTTAATATTACCATGCATCTCATCAGTTTTTAAGGCTGGGACACTTCTAAGTTTGAAAGAGTGCCTCATGGGGTTAATGAGGTTGAAACTAGCAGAAAGTTTAAAGCTTGTTTTTCTGAGAACTATTCCCCCCTAATCAGCTGCTGTGTCTTTTCAGACCCCACTAACAGACTCACTTAGCTATTTCTGCAGAAGCCTCGACTCAAGGTCAACTGATATGGTTCCAGCCTAGGAACAAGCAAGGCCTGGCATTCCTTACTCGAGATTAGAAGCCCAAGACCCCCTCCAGTTTATACTGGCTCTCAGAGCAAGCCCATAACCCCTCTCCTCATCTGAAGATAACCTCCTGACATCAGGGGCTGAATTCTGCCTCCTTCCAGAGTTAAGTCTCCACCTCAAGGGAACATGGGGTATATGTTACAATAAATGTTTGCTCAATGAACATGCTATCTTTCCTTATGAGTAGTTGTTAAGTTTCCTTGCGCTTTGCATCAATATGTATGCATTCTCAACCCCTATGATTGTAAAAAAACTCATTCCCTCCCCCTTGGAGGAAGCAGATTTGAGGCTTATCCTCCCTTCTTCAGGTTTGGCTGCATAAATGAACCCTTTCCTTGATGCATACCTGATGTCTCGGTGATTGGCTTTGCTGTTGCACACAGGGCAGACGAACTTGGGTTCAGTTACAAGTTCCTGGTTGAAAGCTTGAATTTTATTACTGGCAAAAAAAATACTGTCCGCTATTTTCCTAAAAGGGACAGGCTCACTCAATTCCTCTTTGAGAAAATATCTACCAAATATCCAGTGACTGAATAAAGTATGTCTATCAGTCATTTGTTTCAAGTAAACATGGCGTCGCATGATACAAGTGGCTAGTTCTGCTCACTACTCAGCCACACAAGGGCTTTTCCACTATGTGCTGGTGTGCAGAAGCGTTTTCACGTCATTGCCTTCTTGGTCTTGAAAACATGTGTACTCAAAGACTGATATTTAATAAAGCCAACATTTTTAAATGTTTTCCTGCTTCCTCAAGGACATCCGTAAGTGAAACTGCCACTCTTTTCTTCTCCTGCAGAGCTTGGCTGCAGAAATTGCAACTAGTACCATTGGGCAACACCGCCTTCATTTACACTAAGCAACAGTTTTACCTACCACTGCCTCTGCACCACCAGTGCAAATGTCAATGGTTAAAAAGACCCCTGTGTGTTTTCATAAAACGTTTTCCCCTCATGAGCCCCTGAAGGGGTCTTGGGACCCCAAATGTAAGCACATCACAATGATGTGAACTGCTGATCTGGGGCAACCCACTCCCAAGCCAGAGTGAGAGCAGGCTCCAGGCAGTGAGGTGACCTTTAGGAGCAGACGTAATCAGGGCACTATGAGGGCAAGAAGTGTGAGGCCAGTGCTGCTGAACCTTAGTTCTCCTGCTAAACCATGCTGCCCTTGGATGCAGCCTCTGTCTAAAGGAGAGGTGAACAAGCCAAGGCTTCCAAGCAGTGGGTGCTTTTCAAATTAATTAGGTAGAAATTCCAAATTAACGGTATCACCCTTGAAAATGTCACAGCTTTTAAATGCCAGTATTCTACACTGAGGTGTGTGTTAAGCCTTCAAGCGACCACACAAGGCACAGGGCACAAAAACATAAACTAGCTTAATTCCTTTGGAAGTGGTAGGAGTCTAAAGAGTTAAAAGGCCAATTTTTGTGCAGGAGGCTGCTATGGAGAAGGAACCTCCTTAAAGCTGTCAGTGGGATCAGGATGGGAGGGGGGAGCGTTTTGGGGAGGATGAGCTGAGAGCGTGTCTATCACGCAGACATGTTTTGTAAACATATTCCTGGCTGTGCATCTTCTTGATAACGCTCTTGAAAAACTAAGCTGTCCATTCATATTTAGAAAAGAAGGAATGGATCAGACAGCAAGCACATGGGGAATAAAGTAAAGCCTCATTTCTGGAGAAGGCATTTCCAGGGTAGAGCCATTTCATGTTGACCTTGAGAACAGGGCCAGGCTACATGCATTCACTAAGGAAGATTAAAAAACCCTTCAAGAAGCAGCCAGCCAGGAGGCGTATCAGCACTAAGTCAGTGCCTTGCCTTGGGCACTGGGCCCCACATCCCCCTCCTCCCTTCCCGCACTCCTCCAGAAAACAAAATCTGAAACAGCAAGGGAGCAAAAGCCTCCAGTCTATAGGGAATGGCCTGCCAAAGAGATGATTCATCCCTCTCAAGACTCCGCCGCCCCTGTGTGCCTCGCCTCTCCCTGGGACTGCTGCAGTGTGACTTCCTTTGTGCCCTCCACTCCAGGCTCTGGAACTCTCTCTGAAATGCAAAGCTGACCCATCACTTCCCTGCTTCAAAGATCGTAATGCCTCTCTCGGCCCCATGGACCCAGGGGTCAGAGCTAGACTTTCTGGAGACCCAGAGTGGGGTTTAATGGAGTCCAGGCTCCACCCACTGTGCCTGTAGGTGCCCCCATAAAACAGGAAGATTCCTTTTCTTGGCTTTGCAACAGTTTACACAAGAGCATTTAGAACAGGACTTTGCAGTAGACACTCTATAAGTGGCACCTTTTATTGCAATTATTAAGTGAAATCTAATTTCTGGAGAATGATGTGCAAGCGGCCTGCCTGCCTATCAATGCAAGTCTCTCCCCACTCTCAGCCCCTCGTGCTCCCTGTAGATCTCATGCCACCCACCTCCCCCATCTCCCTACCCCTGTGCCCTTCTGTGTGCCCCCCACCCCCTGCCCCGCCAAGCACTTCTCATGCTGTGTCTCACCTACCTCTTACCCTAGACTTCAGCCTGGATTTCCCTCTTTGGGCAGTCCTTGCTAACCTCTCTCTACCCAGTCATCAGCCCTCATGGTGGGTTAGGATTCTGCTGTCATTTCTTCCCTGTCAGTAAGCATATCTCTCTGTCCTTCTAACCACAATACTGAAAATGTCTGTTCCAGTTGGTCTTCTCCAATAGACTGCATAGGACTTGAGGTTTATCTCTCAGCCTTATTTATCTTTGCATCGCTAGTGACTAGCATAGCATTAGGCCTCGGTGGGTTGGGGACTCAATAAATAATCAATTCCTGTTAAATAACTACAGGATCTTCTTTCTCCCCTTTTGAGGCATCAGGATCTGCCAAATCCTAAGCTATTACCACCAAGTACCATATGCCCTGCTTCCTACACACAGCCCTCCACACCCTCCCACTTCCCCAGACCCTTCCCAGAATTTGAGTTTCAAGCACACAGTCCCTGATTTCCCACATCAGGGCTAGGGCTGTTAAGACATTTCTCCTCTGTAGTGTGTTTGCACAGGACTGCTGGGAGCTGATTTCACTACCAAATTATTATTGTTTATGTGTATGGCTGAAAAAAAAAATCATCTCTTAGTTCTAGGAAAGAATGTTCCATGTTTCCAAAACAGTTCAGTTTGCTTTGCAATAACATATTCAAAGTGGAGGTGTTTACAACTGCTATACTGTTCTCAAAAACAATTACATGGCATGACTCAAGCCTAACAGAAGAGGGAGAAGCAAGACTGCATTGTCAGCGGAGCAACCAGCAGAGGGAGCTACAGGGCGGCCGATAAGCAAACCTGAGGCGCATGGGGTCTCCCACTCAGAGAGGGGAGATTGATGGAGCATTCTGGGCCAGTACAGCCTGGAGGGGCCTCCTGGCAGGGGTGACATGGAGGTAGGTACTTTCTTAGCTTCTTCCTCAGTCTTTCATGAGACCATGACCTTTCTGTAAGTTCTTTGATCTTCATTTAGCCAATTACACAAGTAGAAATGTAGGGGCCAAGATGATTTCAGCTAACCAGCATGGCACGCCCCAGCATTCAAAGTTGCCTGAAGGAATCTGCTGAGTGAATCTGTTTTTATCAAGAGAGACATTAACAAATATGTGTTATAAGCACATATACGTTAGGGGAGCAGGAAGGAGACATAGAAGCACCTGGCATGCACAAGTGCTGAGACTAAGAGACACCCTCGCTTATAAAAATGAAACTTTTTGCTTTTACACATGGAACTGTGCTGATTCCACATTCTTAAAATGGTAGTAAAAAACTGGGTTCAAAGGAACCTGGGCAACACAATAAAGACAATTTCTTAAAATTTCTGAGTTGCGTTCTTCAATATCATAATTGGAAGTCTATAGTTCTAATCATGAAGCTTCACCTAAGGGCAGACAATAGAAGTTAAATTTGGATGCCAGCAACTAACAAAGATGTAAGTGACATTTCACGTTCCCCAGAAATGTGTAATTCCCAGTGTCTTTCACACTCTCTTCCAAACTCTGAATCAAGTAGAATTTATAAGACTCTGGTCAAGGATATTTTTGCCAGAATAAAGAGCAAGAGAAATCTCCCTGACATACAAGAGCAATCCCTATATGCAGCTACTATGCAGAGGTGTTTAAAATAAAGCAAAACAAAACCGGAAGCAAGTTACTGCCTGCTTTAAAGCATAATACTTAAATTCCTTCTTACATTATTAATAATGGTCCTCGGGAATGAGAAGGAACTTCACCCCAGGGAGCTTTAAACCACTGTTCTTCCATAATCAATTGCAGACTACTCTGCTCCGGCTTTGGCTGCATATGACACGTGGACAGTGTTATTATGAACCTGCTGTAATGTCAGCACTGGGACACTGGGACCCTACACCTCCAGCCCATGCTCGTGCTTACTTTTTTCAACTTTTTAAAAATTCACATTCAGCTCCATTCCCAAGAATGTCTGATAGGAGGTCTGGGTGGTGGGACCCAATTACAACGGCATCGCCCAATTTCAAGGCAGCTCTGGCATGTCAGCCCCTCCTCAGGAATACAGAACACTGACAGACCCAAGAAACAGGTTATTCCTTTCTACCAAGTGAACAAAAGCCCCTTGACTGAAACTTCCAGATTAGCTATGAGCTACAACACTGTCTACTGTGAGAATGTATTAGACACAGTTGTTTTACAACTTGACTTCAGGCCAAGGCTGTGTCCGATTCACATTTTTTTTTCTTGGCACCTAGTACAGAAGTCTGAACATAGTAAGGACTAAACACATGTTTACTAAATGAATGAATGATTCTATAGACTCAAACTGCTTGTTTGCCCGTGTGGCAATGAAATGAGCATGGGCACAGAGGGAAGGCTAAGGCTTTACAGCCACGCCTGAAGTTTGCTGCGAAAGAAGGAATTCTGCCTCCAGATGCAAAAGAGAAACCCTGCCTCAACTTCCCACCTGCTTGCCTGCCCTGCAGACTCCAGCCTCCAGACAGCAATCTCAACTCTTATCCAAACTTCCAGCCTACTCACCTGCCCTACAAATTTCAGACTTGTCCATCCCCACAACTGCAGGAGCAAGTCCTTAAAAAAATCTCCTCTCTCTCTACATCAATCTGTTTCTCTGGACAGGCCTAATACAGGAACTATGACCCAGATGTGCTCCTGGGCTCTTGACAGGGCTCTGAAGGCAGAGTTCAGAAGGAAAGATGGATACCCAAGGTGTGGTCATGTTATTTACCATCTTGGAGAAGGTCCCTGATGGGTGTCCTGGCCACGACTCAAAGGTCGGACATGCACCAGCTGGCGCGAGGTCAGAGCTCATTGTGCGGACAGGAAGCGCTCTTCTCTGAGCCACAACATCCATTTAGTCCCTGGGCTAACTAAAATTACCACCATGCATACTTCTCTTTGCAGTTGCGCCCTCGCTAACTGTCGCTGCCCTGCAGACAGTTCTGCTTTCTTTTCTGGTCCTCTTGCTCCTCTCCCATGAGCCTACAACTTAGGGGTTCATCAGGTCTCTGCGGGCTAGGCCAGGAGCCTGGCCACGTAGAACACAGTCTCTTTGGGAGAAGAACTCGGAGCGGCTGCCAGGGGCAGGACACAGACCTTCCACTCCCCTGCCAGCCAGGAGAGGGGCAACACCACCGCTTTCAAATCGACCCCCAAAAAGACCTTTGCTGCTACCTCCAACAGGCTCGTTCTGCGCCAGTGAGGGAGAAGCACGGGAGGGAGACTCTCCGGCTGGCGTCAGAGACATCCAGCGCAGAACCCCCGTGCTGCCCAGCCAGCCAGACGCAAAGAACAAGGCCGAGTGAGCACCGTGGGCGACCGTGCGGGACCCACCTATCTCCTCGCCCAGGGAGGAGTTGAGGATGGCGCCGGCAGACATGACCACGGCGCAGCTCCGCAGGCCGCGCGGGTGCAGCTGGCTCAGCGGCACGGCGGGGACCAGCTTCTGCCAACCGAGCGCGGAGAAGGGCGCCTCCTTGCCGTCCAGCGTGCGCACCCGCACCCGGCTCCGCAGCGCACACAGCAGCTCGGCGCGGCTCAGCCCGGCCGCCCGCCGCCCGCGGAAGCGCACGCCGTGCTTGTTGGCGCTCAGGTAGTCCTGCATGGCCTTCTGCAGCCGCGGGTTGAGCATCTTGGACGAGACGTTTCCCTTCCAGAGCCGGTGGAGGAAGGCCCTGGACATGGACGAGTATAGCCTGTCCCCGTCGTCGCCGTCCTCCAGCGCCGGGCTCCCGCCGGGTTTCCGTTGCCGCTTCCTCGACCGCCTTCTCTGAGCCAGGCGAGCCGGTGCAGCACCCTCCCGCCGGCCTGGGTCCCCGGGGGAGAGGGCCCCCGGCGTGCCCAGAGTGTGGCTGTGCAACCCTGGCTGCCCGGCTGCAAAGAAGTAGTCGTCGTCCTCCGGGTAGAAAGCCCTTTGCGATTTTCTCCCGATCTGGGATGAAAAGAACTCTTCGTCATTTTCAAACCCAGCCTGCACCTGGGTCCATTGCGGCAGGTCGCCTGGACCAGCGCGGAAGGGGACAGACGGGCGTCCGCCCAGCAGCCGCTTGTTTGCACCCACGCTCTCAGGCAAGGAGGGCTCCTGCATGGCACCCATGATGGCTCTCTGCTTCCCCTGCATGGGCAGGAGCCTCCTGGTCTCCAGGAAGGAGAAGGAGCTGGGCGCAGGCTCAGCTGGGTTGCTGTCGGTGAAGTAAATGAAAATCACCACGAAGAGGAGCCCCCAGGCGAAGATCCCGCAAAGCATTCGTTGTCTCCATTGCTTCAAGTGTGGTTTCATGGCAGGTCTCTGGGGTCAGCACCTTGTGTCGGTAGGAGGCCGAATGAACCTGAAAAACAGCCAGGTCTGCAGTTAGCCACCGGAAGACACCTGCTCAGAGGTCCCTGGGGACAATCTGGCTTGAGCAGTGTTTCTGCAGGGGAGGGTTAGAAGGGGCATCAGAAACCAGGTTCATGTGGGAAGTTTGACTAAATTTAAGCATCATATCCCCCCAGCCCCACCCCACTTTCCTCCACTGGATCCGTGCCAGACAAGAGGTCCTGCCTAGAGTCTTGGGAGACAGCTGGAGGAGTGGCTGTATATATGGAAAACCTCTGCAGGTATAACCACTTCCCCCACCCTGACAGCTACTGAATTGGGGCCCATCCCAAAAGCCTCTCCCTGAAACTGGGTTTACAGAATTCCATTGGAAAAGCAAAGCAGCTGAGTTAAGAAGCAGAGTCCGTCCGCCCTCTCTTCCCTGCTTTATCAGACAACAAAGGCTCCTATATTGTACAGCTGTAGTACTGTGTGCTTTTAATGGGTGACAACCGTGTCAGATTCTTCCTGGTCTCCCCCAGGCCCTGGGGGCTGCCTGAAATATACCAGAAGTCCGCTAGGGTCCTGAATAACCAATGCTTCAGCCAGGTCTGCAGTTAGCCACTGTGGGCAAATGTGATGCCAGGGTATCTGTGGACTTCAAAAATACACTCAAATAAGTAGCCTCCGACTTCACCCCCATCATGAGTCTCTCATGGAACAGGAAGGTAGTATGTTCACATGTCAAACACGGGAGGAGATGAAGGAAAAGCTGCCTGATTCTAGATGAGCCTCCAACAGAGAAAGGGTGATGAAGAAGGCAGAGATGAAATGGACAAGATAAAAGGTAAGGGAGAAGGAACCTCTCCTTCACACAGTACTCGAGCCCCTGTTTACTGCTACATTGCTGTGTAGGTACAGTGCCTGGTACTAATAAAACAGTAACAAGAAACGCCCTTAATGTTCGGGAATGTAAGCAAAGCCCCCAAAAGGGAAAAATACAAGGCACGTGTAATAATACTGGAGCTTTCTGGAGCCTACCAATGAGCACAGTGCCCAACACAGGCAGACACTGAATACATATTGGCTGAACGAATGGCGTGAGCCTGCGTGTGCGTGTTGGGGGTGGGGGTTGTGTGTTTGGGTGATGGGGTTGCAAGAAGTAGGGAAAACTGAACTGGAAGGTGACTCCCATCCAGCCATGGGGGACCCGGAGGGTGTATTTGGATGTTTGAGCCACAGGCTCTGTGAGAAACGGGGAGAAGTGAAGTTCTCTGAGCGAGGGTATCATGCTGGTTGCTTTCAGATTTCTCTATAGCAGGTAGGGGGGACAGGGAGGAGAGGTGTAAGGAGGCAATACAGGGCTCGAGGGGGTCATTGGTAGAAATCAGACACTCAGAAAGTAGAGTATGAAGAACTCAGAGGGGGACTTCCCTCCCTAGCATAGGCTGATCGATGTGACTAAAACTCAAAGGCATGTGAGGTGGGGCCATAATGCAATGGCTGGGTTTTTACTTAGATAACTCATATCAAAATGACTGATACCTACATAAACGCAGTTACTGTGGAAGCTGTCCTCTGTCTTTGGTGGTAAAAAATGATATGCCAATGTAAGAAAACCACGTTTTCTTTGTGGCTCTGTAGCCGACTAAATATGGACACAGATTCATTGACCCCCTTCCCATTGAGAGGTGGGGTCTAATCCTGTCCTTGCATTCAGAGGAGGGTTCTGTAACTGCTCTGATCCGTTTCCGCTCCCTGCTTCCATATTCTACTTCTTAAAACGCTCATCCGGAGGAAGCTAGCCACCAACAAGGCTGTCTCTCTAACCTCAGTCCACCCTGCAGTCAGGAAACCCAAGCTAGCCATGTAGAAAGGCCACATGGACTGCAAGATGCCCCACCAACCCCAAGCTCTTCCGGCTGTCCCAGCCCCAGCATCAAACATGAACAGCGAAGACACGTTGCGGCGCGTCCAGTCAAGTTGAACTTTCAGATGATCCATCCCTGGCCAACCTCTCACTGCAACTGTATGGACGACCCCAAGTGAGAACCCAGCCAAAGCCCAGTCTACCTACCGCCACAGTGATGATGACAGGTTGTGGGAATAAGCCACACAGGTTTTGAGGACTTTGTTACCTCAGAATAGATCACGGGAGCCGGTGCTAACAGAAATGTGAAATGAGAAGTGCCCCAAACGCTTCCAACATCATGGCATCCTTGAAAGGAGAGCCCAGCCTCTCAGAGATTATATGAAAAGCAATATTCATTTCAATGAAGGGGTTGTGGCTTTTAAAAACGTGTTTGCTTTACCTTGTATTCACCTAAAGGCAAGGCTGCAGGTTTCATTTACGGTCATAATTCAAACACACGCGTACAGAACATGCTTTCACCAAGCTGGGAACGTTGATGCCAATAAATTAACACAGAAGAAACAATACTAATGGTTAACCTATGTGCCAGACCCTAGGCTTACTCTTTCCCCCGGATTAGCTCATCTGGTCTTCCCAGCACCTCATAAGGTAGGAAATACACTTTATAAATGAGGAAACTAAAGCCCGGAGGGGTTAAGTAACTTGCCCAAAGCCGGGGAGATAGCAAGCAGCAGCGACTGCATACAAAACCCATCTGCGTGACTCCAGGGCTCACACGTTTAACAGTAAGTTCTGACTCCATTTAATCATACAGACTGAAGCTATATCTTCTAAAGAAGGCTTTTTAAGCTCTCTCTGGTGAAGGATCGCTTTTTTTCTCCAAACTGTCACAATCTGATGCTCTTATATTTCCACTCCTGCATGTCTTGGCAATGCCCAATTGCCGTAAAAGACTCTAAATGCTTACTGTCAGGTTTTGTACACATCTCATCAGGAGCTGGTAATGGACAGTTTGCAGATGTGCACACGCAGTCTGGGGACCACACTTTGAGTAGCGTCTACCACATGATCTCTCTAAACCTGTTTTCTCGGGAGCCTATGCTTCAAACTGTGCTGCCCAAGCTGAGGATCTAGATGCTATTTCCAGTATTTCAACATTTCTATTAGGAAATCAGAAAATCACCCTTAATGCCGGTTATTCTGCCCTTACCCCAGATGAGCACACTGCAATACCATTCTGACACTAAGCTCTGGAGTTAGCACGGTCCCCACCAGTTAGGGACTCAGTCCCACAAGACTGCCTCCACCTCGGACACCAGCCTGAAGTGGGAACCCCAGGCCACATGCACTTAGGACCCTTTCTTTGGCTAGCAATCTGGGAGGTTCCCATGGCACCCCCTCGGGTTCCATAATTTGCCAGAATGAACTATGAGAGCCCTGTACCAACGATTACCGAGGTTTTGTAAGGTATACACGTGGTTCGAGGTCTTGCAGGGAGGATCCCTCTCTCTGTGGTGTCAGAGAACATCACTCTCGGACACCACTATGTTCATAAACATGAAGTTTCACCCAGCCCTGGTATCCAGAGATTTCCCCCTACCGTCTGAACACACAGTTCATCTTTCTGGTGACCAGCCTCCATCCTGAAGCTCGGCAGGGACCCACCAGGAGTCACCTCATGAACATAACAAAGATATTCCTGCCACTCAGGAAATTGCAAGGCTTTTGGCAGCCCCATGCCAGGAACCCCCGGACAAAGACCAGAGAGATTATTCTGCCACAGCAAGGCTGTAGAAGTCCTCATTACGTGGTTGCCTCTCGTTGAGCAACAGCTCTGGGCACACAGTCGGTGGCTTGCTGAAGAATGGGGAAGTGGAGATGTCTTTGTCCAGCATTTGCTTGAGAGACTGTTTTTAAAACAGCAAGTCAGAAGGGGAGGGCTGTGCACAGGGTTGCTGTGTGTAAAATGATGAGGAGGAAGCCTTGATCCTTTGGGGAGGGCCTAGAAACCTCTGGCCCTCTGGGGTTTGGAGCTGAGGGCCCCACCCCCATGCCAGGTGACCCTGAGCTGCTTCAGAGCAGCAGAGTGGGGGTATTAGGCATACAGACTTCCTTATTTAGAAAACGCCTCGTTCCCAACCGAAGCAGGCCAAGACATTTTGTTTTTTAACTTTGGGGAGCTGACAGACATGGAAGAGAGGCAGAATCATGACAGGAGCTCTCTGGTCAGAAGGCAAGCCTAAAAGGGAAAAGCAGGAGAGAAGGCACTGCCATGGGGCCAGGACCCTGGGGCAGCTCTTGTTGTCTCTGCCCACTTTGTCAGGAAGCAGAAAGGTGGGATTTGTGAAGCCCTCTGGGCACCATGCAAGCACTGGGAAGCCCAATGCAATAATGATGATTTTTCATTAGGTAAGATTTCGTGGCTTCGGATGCACAGTAATAATAGAAAGGAGGGGGATCAAGGTCTCAACTCATGATTAGGCTGAACTTTTAATAATCCAAAAGCTTCCCCGCAACCTCTGTCGCTGCAAACCGTCTGCTGCCAATTAAGGGAACATTCTCCAAAATGATTAAATCTCAAGGCAACAGCAAATCCTCTGCCAGCAAAACGCTACACACATCATTTTACGGATCATGGGGCCCAGTCCCCAGCATCTTTATAAAAATCCAGGTCAGAGACAGGTGGAGGACATCACCAATGTTCTGTCCACTGCTCATTCTTCTCCTCAAAATGACCATTCAGCCAGAGGAAGAAATGTTCAGCTAAGCAACAGGAAAAGAAAAAAACAACACATTTTTTTCCTCTAACGTGGTATATTTAAAATATAATAACGTAGCTTAAACAAAGTAACGTATACTCATTGCTATTTCCCATCATTAGCTGGTGTGATATAAATCACATCGGGGAGATATAAGAGCTACATCAGGCAAATCATCCGTTCCCAGGTGCCAATGACAAAGTGCTACCTAATCATACATTCACGTGTGCTTTGTCGGGGGTGATTTTAGTGACTGCGGCAGTTCAGTCCCTGCCAGTTGTCCCCTGGGAAGAGAACTGGCAAGATTATAAGCATCGTTTGTGTGGCGTGGCCCTCTCTCCATAGGGATTTTTTTTTTAAAGTTTATTTATTTATTTTGTGAGAGACAAGAGACAGTGCAAGTGGGGGAGGGGCAGAGAGAGATGGAGAGAGAGAGAGAGAGAGAGAGAGAGAGAGAGAGAGAGAAGGAGGGAGGGAGAATCTCAAGCAGGCTCTGCACTGCCAGCACAGAGCCCGATGTGGGGCTCGAACCCACAAAGCGGCGAGATCATGATCTGAGCTGAAATCAAGGGTCAGAAGGTTAACCAACTGGGCCACCCAGGTGCCCCCTCTCCAAAGCGATTGTAATAACATTATGACCTACTACTTTAGCCGTGCTAAGGTCTACATTCCAAGTAGACGTTCTCTGCCCACTTGAACTACTTTTCTCTCTTCCCACTTTTCTCCCAATTCCTATTGCCTTTCTAGCCAGGCCTCTAGGAAACTTAACAGGGTAACACTAAAGCAATGATCATAGACAAACAAAACAAAATGACCGGCTGCTAGAAATTATTTTGATTATTCCACTTGTTCAGGAATTTCGGTGCCCCTCAGATACTAATTCTCAAAGAAATGAGCCACGTTTCTGCATGGAGGATGTTGAAAATAATACGAAAGAGTGTTAATAATCCTCCTTCAAATTGTTGAGGGAGAAATCACATTTTCCAAAAGGCACAATTCATTACAAGTGGTCAGATGACGTGAGGAAACACAAGCTGCAGATGAACATTACAGTGCAGCTAAGTGTTAAGAGGGCTAGCTTCCCATTTTGTTCAAGGGTAGAGAGAAGTTAATTCTGGCCTTTGCCACTTCAACGATGTCCCTCTCATAAGCCCTCAGGTTGACAGGCTTGATCACCCGTTTCCTTGAATGGAGAGTATTTTGTAGCACACTTTGATGGATGGGTCTCTGTTACAACTGCCATCTGGCCGGGTTTTCTGTTGGTTGGAGAAACACTCTTGTCTTTTTTGTGTGTCGAAGTTGTCTGAAGAATCTTAAATCTAAGTATTTATTTTAACATTGAAATAATAAAGAAGATTTAGGATGTGAGCTATAGTGAGATACTCATGTATCTTAGTAGCCGTCAGGAGACATTTGCTTTCAAGATTCGTTTTTCCAAAATTAGCTCTTGTCACATACCCAAGAAAACACTCAAGTCTGCAGAAAAGAGGGAGGTACCACCCCCAGCTGGAATCCTTCTCTCTCTTCACAACCCCATTGGCTCCTTTCACAAATAACCCCTTTTCTTTCTTTTCATTTTCTATAAATGTAAGAAAGCCTCCAGACTGCTACATGCACGACACGGAGGGCCCGCTCTTTCATTCTTTCTCACTCAGGTCTCAGCCCATTCTGAAGCTAATGCCCAGAAGAGCAGAAAGAAGGAGGTCAGCCTGGTCAGTGGGGCCTGGCGGTGGGAGGGCCGGCCCCCTTTCTAATGGTCCCGGCCGAACTGCTGATTCATTGTCCTACAGGGGCAGCCCTGCAGGTGCACTGGGCGCCCTGAGGGTGAGGCAGCTTGGCTCAGGCCAAGTATCCTTGTGACCAGGAGCCGCTGGACTCCACGATAGATGTCGCCATCTCCTGTGGGAGGAAGGACGCAGTTATGCTAGGGCCAGCCGACCCAAATGAGCTCTCTTGGCAAAGGCCTGAGTTTAAAAAACCAGTGCCATGGCTTCTGGTTGATTTAAAATGTGGTATCTTGAGTAATCTCAGAGGGGGACAGTGGGAGCTGCCTGAGGGTGGGACCGTATCAGATTCAGTCTTATATTCCCAGGAAACCAGTGTAGGTGGCCCCATGGAAGGTTCCCGATTAATGTTTTAAATAAATGAAATGAAAGACTGCAATTCATAAAATAAAATAAGCAGGACCGCCCGGAGGCGGACTCCTGGGTGGGACAGGCGGGAGGGGCCCCACCGCTTGCTGTCCTTCCCAGGCCAGCGGGAGTGTGTGGGTGGCTCTCTACACATTTAACCAGTTGTCGTATGGTTGGCTTAAGAACAGCATGTAAGGAACAGAATGTAAGGACCAGCAGTCACAGGAGTGGTCAGGGAGATGGAATGAACGAGCAGCGACGGTATCAGATGCTGCCATGCAGCAGACGCCTACCACGTGCTGGGCCCTGGGCAAAGCCCCTCATCTGTACTGTCTCAGTTAAATGCTTCATTCCCGGTGTAATCCTTGTATCAAACTCTACAGTCAACATTGTTATTCCCATTCGGCATATGGAGAAACTGAAGCTCTGAGTGGTCCTCATCATGTACACTGTTCCAAACCCCTTTTTGTACCAACTGTACAATGAAACCAGGGGATGTTGCACCATGCCTGAAAATGTATTTATTTTTTTTTTAAATTTTTTAATGTGTATTTATTTTTGAGAGAGAGGTAGTGCGTGCCCGCGCGTCAGGGAGGGGCAGAGAAGGAGACACAGAATCTGAAGCAGGATCCAGGCTCTGAGCTGTCAGCACAGAGCCAGACTTGGGACTCGAGCCCACGAGGTGTGAGATTATGACCTGAGCCGAAGTCGGACACTCAACCGACTGAGCCACCCAGGCGCCCCCACCATGCTTGAAATTTTAATGAGATTTTTTTTTTCTCTCGGCCAGAAAGTATTATGCCAAATTTCAGGTTAGCTCCCTACACTGACCAGACCACCTGACATCCCGTCTTGCCTAACACGCTTTTGTCTGCTAGAGAAACTGATCTTCCCAGGTATAGGCCTTGGAATCAATACCTCCCCAGAATCCACCTGCTTGGCCATTACTAGAGACAGCTTAGCCTGGGCACGCCAACCACGTGGATTTCGCCCAGTCAGAACAGGCTGCCAGTTCACTAACATTTCCAGCTACAGGTGGGAAGGTCTAAGATCTCAAGGAATTTGTTATCTAGGTAGGAAGACCACAATTCTGACTGCTTGGGTCTCTGTCCCAGGATAAGTGAATGTAGAGAGGAGCGAAATGGACTAAAGACGCGGGGGAGTAGGTTTGGACACTGAAGCACACATTGGTTTGGAAGGGAGCCAGTCACCTCCAGCCAGCGGAACAACTGGGCTAAGTGCACCTGGGATGAGAATTTGCATGGTGCAAGGACAGGTGACCAGGAATGTTGGGCTCTGGCTGAACCAGGGTGGCCAATCTTATTAAGACGATGGTATTCTCTTTCTGAGCAAATAATTTCAGCAATACAAGATTTTTCCTCAAGTGGCAGGGCAGATGGGAAATAGTTTAAAAGGCAAGGACTCCCATATGTGAGCCACTCTGGGCAGCTTTTAGCTTTCAGAACTTTCTGCAATGAGGTGGCAGGTGCTGTTGGGGCAGAGGGAGGTGGAAATGATTCCAGACGTCTATTATTGGTTGTGCAGAGACAACACAAGCTGCCTACCAGCTAGGGTCTGCTGGCTTCCTGAAACAGCATTCATCTGCTTTGGACACAGTGGCCTGTTTGTTTTACGATAATTAGCATTCAAATATTTACACTTTATACCAATAATATGCCAAGGCTCATGATTGAAGCTGTAAATTAGCTTCCGCACTGATGTTTAGTAGTCAAGAAGATGAAATGTTGCATACCTGCCACTGAGACTTGAAGGTTACACTCTGCTTCCTCCAATGTAACTGGGCTTCTGGGTCAAAGTGTAGGTGGTCAGCAGGTGGCTCTCCCAAGGAGGCCTCTGGACCAGTGGAAGCCACTCTTTCATAGGAAAAGCATGCCTTCCTGTCCCCACAGGGGTCAGAGCATCAATACGGACTGGCAGTGGATGCATGTGTGATGGCAAGAGGGTGCTGGCACCAATCAGGGGCACATCAGGGCCACCATCTCTGGTCTACACAGTGTTGCACAGTGACATTGATGATTCCACACTGAGAAGGAAAGGCAACGTATGGTTGACTGGAAAGCCCTTTGGCCAGACAGGCTGTTCAGATCCTTGCCGGCTCTGTTATTTTGGATAAATCCTTTGAGCCTCAGTTTCTTCATCCAGTGTGAGTCATAACACTGCCTTGATCACCACTGCTCTGTGAGATGAATGAGTCAGGCGCTGCGTGTGACTTGACTGGCACGGTGCCTGGCCCAAAGGGAAAGCTACATAAATATGATTTCAGTCCAGGTTTTGAAATCCTGTAAAAGCAAAAAAGTGGTATAACCAGCATGGATTTCACTGTGTGAATATTGGTCCCATGTGTAAACACATAAAGGCTCACCAGTAGGCATCCCTCTCTTTCAGTGGCCCCAAAAGGACATGCCCTCATTGAGATCAGCACAAGCAGGGGACTCCAGCTAATAAGCATGGCCCAGACCCTGCCTAAATAAAGGCCTGTCTCTGGTCTCCGTCACAAAAAGCAGAACCCATCAGGGGCTGAATGCCCGAGAAGTATCTTCTTTGGGGCTCACCGTGTTAGCTTATTGTAACTCATGTTACTCTAATTCAACAAATAGTTACTAAACTTAATGTCAGGCTGAATATGTATCCCAGGAGACTCTGCCTTTGGGGGAATTGAATGAAGTTCTTGGGGAAATTAAGATTTAAAATCTTGAATACCAAGAGTGCAAATTCCAACATGTCTCTTCAGTCCAGACACTGGGCTGTCATCAGAGCCCAGGAAGAGAGTGTGCTTAGAAGAATTCCCTTTCAGAAAACTTCAAACCAGGGCACTGGTTTTGCCTATCAGGGGAAAGAGAGTGTTTTCTATGACAAGAGCCACATCTTAACAAATAAGGATCATAAAAAAAAAGCTAACTGCTTTAGATCCGTCTCCATAGATCAGCACAGGTGGATCTCAAGAATAATGCCGGGGGGGCCGCCCAAGAAGCTGCAGAAGCAAACTCACAAGAGTCTTAATCATTTCTGGAGGGTTATAAAATGCCAGTACAAACCTCAGCAGTGACCGCTGAGGAAGGAGGACTGAGATTTTGAGTGGGAGGGAGGGTGCTTGCATCATTGCTCAAAAATGTCCTTTCTTGAGGCACCTGGGTGGCTCAGTTGGTTAAGCGTCCGACTTAGGCTCAGGTCATGGTCTCACCGTTCATGGCTTTGAGCCCCACGTTGGGCTCTGGGCTGACAACTCTAGCCTGGAGCCTGCTTCAGATTCTGTGTGTGTCTCTCTCTCTCTCTCTCTGCCCTTCCCCCACTCAACTCTCTGTCTGTCTGTCTCTCTCTCAAAAATAAGTAAACAATGGGGGCGCCTGGGTGGCTCAGTCGGTTAAGAGTCTGACTTCAGCTCAGGTCATGATCTCGCGGTTTGTGGGTTCGAGCCCCGCGTTGGGCTCTGTGCTGACAGCTCAGAGCCTGGAGGCTGTTTCGGATTCTGTGTCTCCCTCTCTCTCTGACCCTCCCCCATTCATGCTCTGTTTCTCTCTGTCTAAAAAATAAATAAACGTTAAAAGAAAATTTTTAAAAATAAACAAAAAAAAAACTTTTAAAAATGTCCTTTCTTATAAAGGAAAGATTCAAAGTAGTAAGGCAGAATATTAATAGGTATTAAATCTGAGTATATAAACTAACTTATGTATTTTGTGTTTTGAACATATTTAAACATAACAATTTTACACATAACAAAAGTTATAAAAATAAAAGTTGTAATAAGAGTTGTAAAAATAAGAGAAATCACTAATTGTGTTTATATTTACATCTCTACTTCCTAATCTCTTTGGCTAATAACCCCTGCTTCCTCTGTTAGCACAAAGTATAAATCTAACGTTTAGATTCCAACCTGGATTCCAGCTTTGGTTAAGACTCTCATGTGACAACATCATCAATCCAGCAATGAATAACTTACAGCTGTAATGATTTATGAAAGCATACAAAAGCAATGAGATTTTGGCCCTCACTCTTTCTAGCTATGTGATTTGGGGCAAGTTACTTTAGCTCTTGGAGCCTCAGCTTCATCATATGAAGATGAAAATAATCCTGACTTTAACAGACTGATACAGAATAACAGATTTTAATGAGAATATGCAAATAAAGTTTCTATTGTTGCTACCATAGGTTGTAAGTATCTAAAAACAGCTATGCCCTGTGGCCCCAGGCTCTGCCTTAAGCACTTATGGCTGCCATCTTGTTTACTCCTAACTACCTGAGAAGATGGAGTCTCTGAGTCCTGTGTTCTCTACTCCACCTCTTAATTCTCCTATAGAGAAGTTCCCAGTCCACTGAGGGACAAGGATAATGGCATGAATCTTGGTAGCACCAAACTAAGCTGGCCCAAAGTCTAGATTTGACAGTTGGGGGAAGCAATGTGGGGGACTGGCAATCCAATTTGTTCCCCACACCCAGGCCACAAGTTATGCATGACTATCTGTAACACATATAATAATTTAACCTCCATCTGTCTGACATTTGTGGTAGGTTGTAAAATGCTGAACAGTTATTTCAGTGTCTCTCAAATCCTACCATCTGGGAACTATGGTGAAGCCCATTTTATGGATGAGAAACATGAGTCCCAGGGCGGTGACTTAAAAGTCCCATTGTTAACCCGTGTGGGAGCCAGGACAGTACCTGGTAAAACTGCAAGCAGTCAAAATGAGGACAATGATGATGTGTATTTTCCTTACCTCCCAGGGTTGTTGAAAATGCCCAAGAAAAATGTGTTAGTAGGAACATTTAAAACTCAATGTCCTACAAATTCATTCAGTGTCCATGATATAAGGAATCATAAATACTTAGATTTCAATATTATGTCAAAGTTATCCTAGTTGATTTTTTGGTCCCATAATATATGTGTAAATAAAAAGATAAAAATCACCTTGGCAGATGAAGAATTGCCAGTGAAAATCGTAGACTGGTGAACACTTTTCTGGGCAAGTAAAAATGACAACAGTTTGCTTTGTAAGGCTACTTAGTGGCTTTAGTAATGTAGCCTTAACACTCCTAAAGTTTGGTTTTAAGAATGAAACTATTAAAACATTAAGAGAAAATGCAAGTTGTGAATGCCCTAACACCAAGTTCTTATGATAGGAAATATTTTCCACAGAAGTAGCAGAAGAAGGCAGCATATCTTCAAAATGCATTAACTCTTATATTAAAACACATATACAGGGGCGCCTGGGTGGCGCAGTCGGTTAAGCGTCCGACTTCAGCCAGGTCACGATCTCGCGGTCTGTGAGTTCGAGCCCCGCGTCGGGCTCTGGGCTGATGGCTCAGAGCCTGGAGCCTGTTTCCGATTCTGTGTCTCCCTCTCTCTCTGCCCCTCCCCCGTTCATGCTCTGTCTCTCTCTGTCCCAAAAATAAATAAACGTTGAAAAAAAAATTAAAAAAAACAAAACAAAACAAAACAAAAACACATATACATATGTTGTCAAATATAAATGAACTTGAATTTAACATAAAATATGAGACTTCAAAGAAACTTCTCGGTACAGAGCTTTCAACTCTGCCCTCTGACCTTCCAGAGCTCAGTGTTCTTCTCCCTAATGGAAAAGTCTGAAAAGCTGGGATGAGACTCCAGAGTAAGGACCCCAGGGGCACCTGGGTGGCTCAGGAAGTGAAGTGTCTGACTCTTGGTCTCAGCTCCTGTCTTGATCTCAAGGTCCTGAGTTTGGGTCCCATGTTGGGCTCCATGCTGGGTTAAGCCTACTTAAAAACAAACAAACAAACAAACAAAGAAGGTCCCCAGTGCACTTAAGAATAACTTGGGTGGGGCCCCTGGGTTGCTCACTGGGTTAAGCATCCAACTTCAGCTCAGGTCACCATCTCCAGGTTTGTGAGTTCGAGCCCTGCATCGCGCTATCTGCTGTCAGCACAGAGTCCGCTTTGGATCCTCTGTTTCTCTCTCTCTCTGCCCCTTCTCCGCTTGCTTGCTCTCAATCTAAAATTAATAAACTTAAAGAAAAAATAACCTAGGTATGATTCAAATGTTTCCTCTCTAGTATGCTTCTCCAGTTTCCATTTCCAAAGCCAGTAAAACAATTCCAGATTATGGAATAATTTCTGAAGTTTCTAATTCTAAAGATTAGCTCACCCTTATAACATCTTCTAAGTGCCAATACACCCAGGCATGGCCAGTCAACTGAGTTATGGTTCCCCTGGGAACAGCAGCACGAATGTTTTTTTGTATCTGAGCACACGTGTACCTACGAACACAGTGTTGGTCTTAACATTACTTCACTCATTCATTCGTTCTACAGGTAACTGGGCACCTACTACACACTGGGTCCTGTGTCTACCATGTGGAGCAAATCAAATATAATCTGTCCCCTCCCCTGAGCTTATAGGACAGGAAAGGCAGAAATCAGGTATACAAATCTTGCAAGATACTGTGTAGTCTTAACTGATTTTTTTTTTTTTTTACCACATTCCTTTTTACCCTGTGACCTTCCTGGTGACCTTGGCAGCTACTGCTAAAGGAGGAGGACCGAGATTTTGAGTGGGAGGGAGGACGCTAAACATAAAACAGGGGTGCTTGGGTGGCTTAGTTGGCTAAGTGTCCAACTTCAACTCAGGTCATGATCTTGAGGTCTGTGGGTTCAAGCCCCGCGTCAAGCTCTGTGCTGACAGCTCAGAGCCTGGAGCCTGCTTTGGATTTTGTGTCTCCCTCTCTCTCTGCCCCATCCCCACTTGTGCTCTGTCTCTGTCTCTCTCTAAAATAAATAACATTTAAAAAAAATTTTTAACATAAGACCTCTAGTGCCTAAAGGAAAATTGTCACAAAGGAACCAGAAGGCGGTGATGTCAATTCTTGCCTTTAAAGTCCAAAAGCTAAATGACTTATTTTGATTAGATGGAGAGAGGTGGGTGGGGGATGGGACAGATGGGTGAGGTGTACTAAGGAGGGCACTTGTTGGGATGAGCCTGCATGTTATATGTAAGTAATGAATCAATGAATTCTACTCCTGAAGCCAAAATTGCACTGTATGTTAACTAAAGTTTTTAAAAATTAATTTATTTTAGTATTCATT